GGCCTCCTCGCCTGAGCCGCTCTGCTCCGCGACCCGCGCCGCCGGCCTATAAATAGCGCGTGACAGGGCACCGCGCGCTGACGTCAGAGGCAAACTACCCTCCTGTGGGCGGAGCCAACCGCCGCACGCCGCGAGGGCCGAGCTGCCAAACAGCGGCGCGGTGCTATGTTGGGGGTGGGGCTACGCTGAAGGGACGGGGGCGCGCGGCTGGTTGCTATGGTTCCCGCCAAGCCAATGTCTGTGGGGCTGAGTCCCCGAGTCCGTCTCGCAGCGCGGCTAAGTGACGTGCCCGAGGCCGCCTTTGGGTGGTCTGTGGCAGAGAAGGGAGGGCTTCATGCCTGAGCCCCCTGGGGGCCTCCTCTCTCTGCCTGTCACAGCTAGGGGCCTGCTACACCTGACCTAGATGATGCCATGCGCGGGTGAGTGGTGCAATATGTGTAAAACAGGCCACGCGTGCCAAGTACAGTGGGCCACAAACGCAAGATAATTATCACGCAGTTCACTGGTCAGTGGTGTGATGTGTTTAAACAGGCCACGTACACCAAATAAGATGGGCTGCAAGGGCAAGATCATTATCAGGTATCCAGGTTGCAGCCATATTGGTCTAAAGGAAAAGGCAATTGGGACTCATAGTAGAGATGATATCTTTTATTAGAGCAACAAGGTTTTCGCAAAAAAAAAAATCTTTAATTTCAAGGTTTCGGGCACAATCGCCCTTCATTGGGCTTTGGAGAAAAGATGGTAAAAGTTCTGGGTAGAAATGAAAGTTCATATTTTATAGGATTTCACGGAGGGGTCAATAGATGGAAAACTCCTGGGCAGTCAGTTCATAGCTGGCATAGAGCCTCTCACCTCCCGTGAGGATCTGTGATGATGCAAATTGACTTGAAACAAAGGCAGGAGCAGGATCTCAGGTGGTCACAGTTGCTTTCTGCTTGGGAAAATAAGATTTCATTTAAAACAAACGACTAAAATTCAATATCTTCCATGTGTCAGGTGTCCAGGTTGTAGCTGTATTGATCTAGAGGAAAAGTCAATTGGGACTCATAGTAGTGATGATATCTTTTAGTAGACCAACAAGATTTTTGCAAAAAAATGTCTTTAATTGCAAGCTTTCAGGCACAAACACCCTTCATCAGCATTGGAGAAAAGATAGTAAAAAGTCTGAGTAGATATTAAAGTTCATATTTCATAGGAATTCACGGAGGGGTCAGTAGATGGGAAACTCCTCTGGACAGCAGTTCTTAGCTGGTAAGAAATATGGCCGCAAGTGCAAAATAATTATTACTGGACGCTGGTGTCAGAAGTGGACTGGCCAAGTTCGCTGACAACACCAAACTTTGGGGAAGAGTGTCCACACATGAGGATACACTGGTGATCCAGACCGACCTGGATAGGTTTGTAAGGTGGGTGGATGAAAACCTGATGGCATTCAATAGGGAGAAATGCAAGGTGCTCCACCTCGGGAATAAAAACCGGCATCACACTTAGAGGCTCGGCAATGCTACACTCGCTAGCACCACGACCGAAAGAGACTTGGGGGTCATACAATCAGAATCAGAAAATGAGGGTTGGAAGGGACCTCAGGAGATCATCTAGTCCAACCCCCCTGCTCAAAGCAGGACCATCCCCAACTATATCATCCCAGCTAAGGTGTCATGATTGACCACAAGATGAATGTGAGCCACCAGTGTGATACCGCAGCTGGCAAAGCAAGCAAAGCTGGCTTGCAGCTACCTATGCATCTCAAGCAAGACCCAGGATGTCATTCTCCCACACTCGGCCTTGGTGAAGCCACAGTTGGAGCGCTGCATCCAATTCTGGGCTCCACAATTTAGGGAGGACATGGAGAAGCTTGAAAGAATCCAGAGGAGAGCCACACGCATGATCAGAGGGCAGGAGAACAGGCCTTATGATGAGAGGCTGCCAGCTATGGGACTCTTCAGCCTGGAGAAGCACAGGCTCAGGGGTGACTTGGTGGCAGCCTATAAGTACACCTGGGGTGTGCATCAGGATCTGGGGGAATGCCTGCTCACCAGAGCACCCCAGGGAATGACAAGGTCCAGCGGTTGCAAACTCCCGCAAGACCGTTTTAGGCTGGACGTAAGGAAAAACTTCTTTACTGCCTGAGCCCCCAAGGCCTGGAACAAACTCCCCCCAGAGGTGGTGCAAGCATCTACTCTGAACGCCTTCAAGAAACATTTGAACGTTTATCTTGCTGGGATCCTTTGACCCTAGCTGACTTCCTGCCCCTTGGGCAAGAGGCCGGACTTGATGATCTTCCGAGGTCCCTTCCAGCCCTGATGTCTATGAAATCTATGAAATCACGCAATTCATTGGTCAGTTGTGCAATGTGTTTAGACTGGCCACGCGCAAAGGAATGATCGCGGGATAAAAATGACTCCCCAGCTCTAAACAGCCCACCTGCTAGGAAGTTAGTGCTTGAACATGTGTAACAACTTGTAGAGCCAGTTTCTAACCATCTTTCATTTGACTGTGTAGCTGGACCCCCTGTATATGCACCAGCCCCTTCCTCTCCCCCCTTGGCTAGACCCAACACAATCAACATGTCCATGTATTTGCTTACACTTGAGCATGTGTACATTTATTTTCTGGCATCCAGGCATGCTTTGGACCTGCTGGCATTATGGGCTAGATTCCACCCTGATTCGCATCCTTTGGAAGCCAAAGATGTAACTGCCTCCCTTCCTCCAAAACTGATACTAGATTTTAAACAGTTTTTAAATCAAACGACCACCAGGGGAGCAGCAGCATGATTCAGTGGGTAAGATGGCCAGGAGTCAAGAGAAACACATTTTTTCACAGCTCTGCTATATAGACCTAAAACTCTCTGCCTGTCTATGCTGTAGTTCTTCCATTTGTAAATATTATAAATATTTACTGCCATCTTTTACTGAGCTTTGAGAACTGCAGCTCAGCATTGCATAAGCGCTAAGTGGTGGCATTTTATTACACTGGTTAGCTTTCTTCACTGAAGTCCCAGTTCCAGCCTTTGAATAATGGATAACATCAGTTCTCTCCTGTGTGTATGACAGAATCCCTAACAGTTAGGTTCAATTTTGAAGTGTAATAAAGTGAACTGTGTTGGCTGGTTTCTTGACCTATAATTCACAGTAAAATAAATCCTAGTTTACTTGATGTAATGGTGCACCTTTAACCTTTTCTGTCTTGCAGCAGTCATTCCTGACAATCTGAGTGCATCTACATGTGCAATTAGCACGTAGCAATACACTCCAGCAAAGTTTGTACCAGAGTTTATTGCTTCCAAGCACAGTTACACATGTGCCTGGGACCCACATTGAGCTGGGTCGAGTCAGAGCAGCCCTGGATGGCAGGTGTCCAGGGGAGGGCAGCCTGGGGCTACGCCGGCCTGGCTCAATGTGCTGCAGAGGGGCTGGCTGGGGCACAAGGGTACTACCGTGCCAGGCTAGCCAGCAGGCAGCACCCACACTGTAGCACCCTCGTGCCCCAGCCCAGCCCAGTCACCATCTACACTTGCGTTTCAGTGCATGGAACTACTCCGCTGTAGGCTAGTACTTGTCCCGGACAGTACTATCTTACAGCAGAGTTCATTTACTGCACCCTAATATGGGTGCATGTATAGATGGTGATACTTTACTATGGAGCTAATTAGTCAGCGGTGCAGTAAAACACATGTGTAGATGCAACCTCTGTGTAGTTAAACAGCCTTCTGAAATGTTCTTTACTTACCCTGCTTGAATTTTAAATATTTTATAGCCCAATGGTTGTTTAGGCACTCATGCCCTGATAACTGACCTGCCTAGACATAAATGCACAAAGTGTGTATTTCAGGGCATGACAAAGATCACATGGTTTTGTTGTCAATATTTTATCTATTTTAAACACATGCCATGTGAAAAAATACATGCCTTTGCTGGGGTGTTGATGATCATAGCCTGCATGAGAAGACTGTACCCAGACTTTAACTGGAGATTGGATAGCACTATTTCTTGAGGGGGTGAGAGGTAAGGAAAGTGGCCAGGTGTAGCTGCCGGGTAGCCTCACACAATCTAACCAAGCACACATTTATTTATCACAAGTTACAATGAGCCAACATGTGTATGGTATTTGCGAGATGAAAAACGTGGTATATGTAGATGGGGGTATCATTAACAATAATAGTCCTACTTTGGAGTTAGTCTCAGTTCAGTGCTTTTACAAGTAAAAGCAAAGCTGGGACAGCTTCATGGCATGTGGCAACCTGCAGGTAGTGGGAAAAGATAGATGCCCCATTCAAGCAAAAATCACACTACAGATTGATCTGATTCAGGGCTTTATTAAGCTTCTGGAAGCAAGAAGGCAGATATGCATCTATTTCAGTAAGTGCAGACTCCCAGGTCTTGCACCAAAGATTCCCACTAGTACTTAAGCATCAGCACCTTGTCTGGTTTCTTCATCTTTGCCTGCCAGGCAGGGGCATCCAGTTTTTTCTCTACAATGTGTAGTTGAGCTGTGGTCTCTGTCAGCATGTCCATTAACAACTCAAGCTGCAACTTCAGGTAATTGTTCTCCTCCAGAAGGGCCTCATTCTCCTTCTTGAGGACCTTGTTGGACTGCTCTTGGCCAGAGGAGGGGAATAATTGCCGAAATGGAAGCTGATGGGTAGGGCTACCTTCACTCTGCCATTTGCCATCCTGGAAGACAAACTTTGCATTGCTCAGTTGAGCCTGTGGCAGGCCATAATCCAAACCTAGTTCCATCTGCCGGGTCCTGTGGTCCAGCAGGTAGAAACTGGACAAGGAAGTAATTTGGCGAAGTGGGGGCCTCCTGGGTAGAAATCTCCGTGAGAAATGGGTTGCCCAATACTCGTGCAGCTCCTGTACTATGTTGACAACGGTGTCCATGGCAAGAAGAGCTGAAAGCAGAGCAATTAGTCAAGAAACCTGCAGCAGGAAGCTGTGGAACCCCAAGCCAACCTGCAGCGGGAGGTACAACGCTGAGAGGCTAGATAAGATAGCACTGAATTAGATGAGAAAACTAACAAGTACAACCTAACCCACAGGCTCGGCTACCTCAACCCAGCACTTTGGTCTAGGCCGGCACTCCTAAAATACCGTTCCTCAGCTCTCTGCATAAATCACCCTACCAAGCAGCGAAATCCTGAAGAGAACATGCAGCTCTGGTATACAGGTTAAAGAGGCATCCAGACACATAAATATAATGTAAAAGTTGCACCTTTGAAAAGTAATATACAGAAACTCTGACCCAGTTAGTCTCTAAAAAGTGTTAGCCTACCTTCCTTCACCCTGAAGATAGAAGTCATGAGCCCAGATAATTGTCCTCCCTCGCCCCCAACCACCACACACAAAAAGATTCTTCTTTTCATTGATGTCCCACCCCCACTGAGGAAACAAAAGTCCATCCCTTGCCTTTCTTATGGAGCCAGCCGTAGATATTTTGCAAGTCTGCAGAGAGGGAGGGAGCCAGACAGTCAGGGTTGAAGGATGTGCATCCTTCTTCTACCCTAGGAAAGACAGGAGTGTGAGGTTGTACCAGCATTTCCATGGGCCCCTCTATTCTCTAGAATCCTGGGCCACATCCAGACGAGTGTGAATGTGTGTTTCTCCAGGGACAAGCAGCAGTGGCACACACGCTTTGTGCCTCTGCTGCTTGTCCCCAGGGAATGCCAGCGCTTCATGCGCTCTGGCATGCGCAGGTTACCCTGCGTGGGGTAGGGGAAGCTGGGGCCAGCAACTGTACCGGCCCCAGCAGCCTTACCTGGGGGCCTTGGAGAGCTGCAGCCATGGCGCGCCTGCAGCAGAGAGCCTGGCCAGCAGCTGGAGCATGACCCTGGCCAGCCAGGCTCCAGTTTTGTGCAGCGCATGCTGCTGCCATGTGCACTGCCCCACTTTTTTTTAGGTGTGAGTTTTTTTGACCTGGGGATCTCCCGGGGTCAACCCCCCATGCTGTAAAGTAGCAGTGTGGGGAACACATGCACATGTGGTGTGTAGTGCCACAGACGGGTCTACGGTGCCACATACCGCACGTTGGTGCTCATCTGAATGTGACCCCAGAGGCAGCCGTCAGGGAACAGAGGTGTCCTTAGCAGAGGGGCTGCTGTGAAACTGCGCTGCCACAAAGCCTGAATCAGAGCCAGCGCAGAGTAAACATAAATGCCCTGGCATCCCCGGATCTCTGCGGATCCACCCAGGTTGGGAACAAGACCATGGGGGTATACCTTTTCCCCGAAGGAACAATCAGATCTGAACTTAAGGTGATTTCTTTCCACCCCCAGGTTTTCCCTTTGGGTTGTAGTCATTAATTGTGTGCTCGGCTTTTTCATTCTCATTAGAAAGTCAGATATCATCAGCATAAACCAAGAAAGGAAAAAAATACCTCCCTGGGAGCCTGTCACCTTAGTGCTATGCTGAATAAACCAGCCCCGTGAGCAAGCCAGAGCCTTTCTACTAGAAGCAGTATTGTCATGTGCAGCGCTGCCACCACCTCTTCCTTTAAACCCCTCCTAAAAACCTCCCTCTACTACAGTGTCTGCACAGAGCTCCCCTATGGCGCTGATTGGGAAAGAGGCGAGTGCAGACTTCTCTTTTTCTGCTAAATCCTGTTTGTTTTATTTCCTCATCTTCCTACCCTACCTCCACTGTAGCCTATGTGTGTACCAGTCGCGTCATGTCTGACACGTGGGCTGTAAGGCCCTCTGAGACAGGTTGTTTTCTCGTCTGTATGGTGGCTGGTACAACTGGGCTCTGATCTTTTACTAGGATTCTAGGTGCTACTGCAATACAAATCACCAATGATAGTGTGTTGGCCCACGCTGTTCTGGGGAGGAGCAAATAGCTGCTCAGTATTTAAATGTCATCTCTTTAAAGGAAGAGGCAGCCTGTTACGTGCTGTCTTAGTGCCTTTGTTTTACTCTCCTCTCCTTCCCTTTCTTTTTCCTATGTAGATTTTAGCCATCAGTATTTATACTTAAAATGCGAGAATCCTGCCTCAGTTCTTCTCTAGGGTCTTCTCTCCATCGATGCTCATTGCTTTTAGCTCATAGTTGCTTTTCTCCCTGCATTTGTGTGTAAACACTTGCTTATAAATAAATGTCTAACTTTCAGTTAATCTGCAAACCTGATTAATTCTCCTGAAAGGCACTGGCAGTCTCACTCCATTTCCCATCTGAGGATTACAAAAACGGAAGTGCAGTGCGGTCTCGTGCTACTAATGCTTTGTGATTTTTTTTTCCTTTGTGCACAACGGGCTTTTAACTAAAGCTTTTGACTGCAGAAATCAAAGGGGATCTTTCCGCTGAAGGGGAGGAGCTCGGGCAGGCACCAAGATGCATCTTTATGCTTAAAGAAAATTACATTCTACACAAAAAAAAATGCATGTTGTATGAGAGGTGCTTGTGCTCCCTCCCTCTCTGCTAATTCTCAAAGCTGGGTAATCCACAATGGGTCTCCTGTTCATTTTGTCCATACAAGGAAGGCTTTGAACCCACATTACACCTTTGTCATCTTGTTTTCCACCTTATCTTGCAAAAGCCTGTCTTCTTGCTCATTAATTACACTGAAAGGGGTTGTCAGTTATTAAAGACGGCTGAAAGCTCCCTTGTCCTGACCTTTCTTATATCTAAAGTTTGGTAACCAGCAAGGCCAGTTTTGAAGCCATTTTGAAGCATCAATATTCATTCTGCTTAAATGGAGACCAGCCAATCCAGCCACCTCTCCACTCAGAAGCTATTGCCTGTTCCTTGATCCACAGCCCTCCTCTGTTCACTGGCAGCCTATCCAGCACTTGGGATAGATAAAATCTGAAAAGATTTTATCCCTCTCTCTTTCTCTCTTTGCGCTGATCCCTCGGCTACCTGTTCCCTTCTACCCTTTCTCGGGAGCTCGTCTATTGCTTGTCCGATCATTAGTTGAACGCAGACTTGGATCTCGCTTAGTTTCTGTACCAGTACATCCGCATCAGTTACAGGAGTGCCGGCTTTTGCTTTTGGTTTCCATTTAACTGCTTGAGTTATACTAGAACAATCCATCAGGCAAGTGCAGCCATATTATAAAAGGTGGCTTGTGTTATTACAGTTAATTTCCCTTGCCAAGTCAGAATAAGCTGTATTGATATAAGCATGCTTGTACCAGTGTAACTCATCCAGACTAGCTAGGTTGTGCTGCTTATACCAGTATAGTCAAAGCTGTAAAACTTTTTTGTGTAGGACCTGGCCAGTGCTTTTATTTTACAACTTGGTAAGCTCCATACCAATAACTCACTAGGCCCTGTATAGCGAGCTTTCAAAACCCACCAGCCCCAGTTGTAGGCCTGTTGAAGTTCACGATTCCAAGGGTGCAGGATCAGTCCTGCTGCTTCCTTTCAGTTCCAACAGTACTGGTCGCTAACTAGCCCTTCCTTCAGCTACTCACCAACATAGAGGATTTAGTTTCAATTCAGTAAGCCCTCAGGAGCAGTCCCTTCAGGAGCTTTCCTCCCTGGTATTGATTTTTCGCTGCCCCCTTGAAGTTATGCCTGGCTCATGTCATCACCCTGCTTGCAGTGACTCACAATACCCTGTCTTAACCAGCCGTATTTATACACACCAAGGGGTATCCCAGTGCCACCTGTAGGCTTTCTATGTACCAGCAGGTCAACAGAGTGGGAGAAGCTTAGAGACTGGGTATTTCTCCAGGGAGAGAAGTCCATAGTGTTACTGCTGCTGCAGAGAACATCAGGGCTTTGAATACCTGCACTTTTGTCCAAATAACAGAGGCTATTTCCTCACCCCTTTCCCTTTCTTCTATCTATTCCTTCCTGGATTTTTCTGTAGTATATTTCATTCTCTCTCAGTGGGAGTATCTGGTTTTCAGTTCCTTGCTGCTTCCGAGCCACATAAACTAGAAACACAAAGGCAGCCACATTGCGCGTGTCTACACAAGATGCTAGAAGCGCAGTGGACTAATTCTACTGTGCATTAGCACATCACAGTGAAAGCTGTGCTAATGCGTAGACTAATTCTTTTTTTTTTCTTTCAGTAGAATTAGTCTACTGGGCATTAGTGTCATGTAGAAGCTGTGCACCGGTGCTACCGCGCAGTAGTGCTGGTTATGGTGCATTAAGCTAGTACCTGTTATTACAGGTACTAAACTTCATGCGCCATAATTCCAGCACATTAATGCACATGGAGACACGTCCATTGTGTGACTCATATGAGGTAAAACCCTAATGAGGACAAGGCAGTAGTAGCATTAATATGGGTTAACTGACCAAGGCAAATGCTGGGCCTTGATCAGTTAAGCCATATTAATGCTACTACTCTCAACCATGTACTGCTGCTGTGCAAAAACTACAAACCACCATGAGCTCATTAGGATTTTAGCCTGCCTGGGGTAAGAACACACCATTAACCTGGGAGGGCTGCAGCTTGTGTGCACAAAGGCACTCACTTCAGCTACAAGCTAGCCTGGCTGCAATATGCAGCATTTACATCATTTAAGCTGGTGACAGTAGACACCATGGGCTGAATCTTATCTCATTTTATGAAACAGGATTTCACGTGGCTACATGGGTAAAATAGTACTTATGCAGCCATGGCACTGCAGTTCTGGGCACTCACACCCAGCTTGCGATTCTGCTTTACCCTGCCACAAAACAGAACTGCCCTATGTATCCCCACAGTGTAGAGACACAGCTGCCCACCTGCCATTTAGGTCCATGAAGGAGAATAGGATTTAGCCCTGTGTTTCTGCTATAACAGACCAGACCCTTCATACCAAACCCAGGAATGTCTAGGCCCGACACAGGAAAACTAGGGGGTCGTGTTTGTGACTCTTATCGGCTGAGCTCATTCAACCTCCCAGGAGACTCCTTTGCATCTATCCAGCCCAGCCCACATGATCCTTCAGGCCTCCCACCCTTTTCTACTACGGGGACTCTCTGCCAATCCTCCAGTCTCTCCCCTGTGCTTCCATATGCCCCTATTCCTTCTCCTCCCATACTATGGTCCCCTTTAGTCCCCTCTATATGCAACCTTTGCCCCCCATATGAGGCTCCAACTCCCTCTCCAATCTGTGGATGGATGTGCTTCCATGTTCCCTTCCCTTCCAGGCTTTCCCCACCCCAGCAGGGTCTCTCTGTTTGCCCGCCATTCGTACTAAACAGATGTCCTGCTGGTACCCAAAGTCAGTAGGGTTCTGGGCTCAGTGCCTGGAGGTGTAGGACAGGACCGAGCACCTTACCCAGATAGAAACAGACACAGAGATGCCCTCGAACTGAGCGTAAGCTTCTGCAAACACAGCCAACAACATGGGTCGCACAACTGAATATTTACTTTGCATAGCTTCAGCGTGACTTCCTTTCCTCCTCTTGCCTTTGATACCATCTGAATTTCAGTCAATAAAAACAAGACAGCGTCATAACAAAATGGGGCAGCCAGTTTGTAATCATTTAAGGTCCTAGCCTGAACTTTCTCACTGCTGCAGCAGTCTGGATCCTGAGAGGGGGGGGTTGAAAGACATTTGACTACAAAGGTGCTTTCAAATGCCGTGGTCAGCTTTGGGAGGGTGCAGCACTGGGGTCCAGGCCTTTCTAATTTCAACACATAAGTAACTTAAAAATGTGCTCTTTCTCTTTCACCACGAAACTGCTCAAGGCCACGGACATTCATCTTGTCTTCAGATTGGGCTCGTTCTGTCCTTTCCCCTCTTTTTCATTTTCTCTGCCCTGATCAGGCTAAGTTTGAGACTGACATGTCTGGGTATTATTTAGACCAGATTGACCTACTTCTTTCCCTCCTGTTGGCCCCTGTGTTACGGATGCTGCTGCTATGGCAACCTGTGTAACACGCCTGCATCACAAAGGGAAATCTCCATTGAATGTGCCCTGTGCATCACTTGCTGCTTTCAGTTCACAGCGGGTTTCTCTCACAAACGTCCCATTAGAAAATGTAGAGCTCAGCTTCCACGGATCTGCTCAGCCGGTCCCATCCAGCAGGGCCTTGTGGGTACCATATTGCTATCCTTTGTCGTCTGGATATATCCCACTGCCAAATTCTGCAGCCTGGCATTAGGGGCACAGCACGGCTCAGTTCTGCATATCAACACGCAGATGTCAGCAACCTGACAAGTGTGAGCACGCACGTGTGGAGGCCTGCCTGCCGACACATGCACGCTGCATGTGATTTCACAACCGGAGTGTAGGAAAACACATGTACACTTTTTTGCAGCTTGAGGGTAGCCTGAGGCCTGTTCATCTCCAAAACCCTGTGCTAAGAGTTTAGGGGAGCTTGGTCGGTGTGTAACACACAGATAACTTCGTACCGGGGCCTTGTACGAGCCGCGGCCTGCCACGCTTGGGGGAATTCAGGCCTTACCACCAAAGTAGACAGCTGCAATAGCGGCATTTCCCCCTTGACTCAACGTGACTAATTCTGAAATGCCTTCGCAGGAACGTGTTTGTCAGTCTTTCTTCCTACACAGCACAGCAGCCTTTGAGAGCAGTGCCACCTGGCGAGAAGCTCTCCTTAATGCAGTTCAGCAGAGCCCAGGCCTGAGCCTTTGTCATTCAAAACCTCAGACACAAAATGCCCTTTGAGGCCAGCCAGCTCTCTCTCTGCCTCTCTCTGTCCCCCAAACACACACAAAGCAGCAGAAACACCATTGGGAAACCGAAAGGCAAGTCTGCTCTGAAAGGTGGCTGTGAAGCTGCTGCAGGTAGGTAGGCAAAGGAGCTGGAGGGAAGAGCGATCTCCAGCTGTGAGAGCGCTGTAACTATGTACGTATAAGTCCTCCGTGCCCTGTCTTAAAAACAAACTTGATACCTTGAGCAAAAGGTCTCCTGCTCTGCGCTTCAACAAAGGTCATACACCAGACAGAATCCAAGTCTCACCCCTGATCAGACTTTGGCTCTATCAGTTAGTTCATAATCATTGATAAATAGTAACCTTGTGCCCAGGTTTGCAATGGCAGAGACTCAACATGCCTCCCTATGGCCCTGAGGTTGATTTAAAAGTTAGGAAACGATAAAGAAAAATGAGCAGTATCTTTTTTTTTTTTTTTTTTGAGCCACTAGGATCCACTTGAGCCACTTAATCAAGCCATTTTCTGCAACCACCGGGGCTAGAAATGTCCCGTTTTTAATTGAAACGGAGTCTCTCCCTGAATGACAAGACTCCTTGGAGCCAAGCTTTTAATTACAAGCTCAGCTACTGTGAGACTCAAGGGAACTGGCAACACTACTGTCTGGCTGTCTGCCTTTCCTACATGCTGTTCTAATTGTCAAAAGCAACCATGTTACAATAATATAGGGCCAAAATGGGGTGATAGGCCGGAGACTCCCAATTAAACTTTTGTGAATCTCATAGAGCCTCTGTGGGAGGACATGGGGGCGTGGGGTGCTCCACAGCTGATCAACAATGCAAGCCACTGGGAAGCAAGGGGAAGGACAGAGAGGGAAGAAGGTCCCATAGATTTAGGGCAAAACCTTGATCCTGGTGAAGTCAATAGCAACACTTACATTAACATCTGTGACAGTAGGACTTAACCCTTAAAGATTTCTATGGTAGTCCATGTCCCATTTCCATAGTAGTCCTGGGACAAACAGGAAAGACTTGAGGCAAACTCCACTGTAGTCAGTGGGAATCTTTCCATCTACTTCAGTGGCCTTTGATTAGGCCCTCCGAACAGACACAAAGCCAGACCCACAGTGGGACATAAATTATTGCTCATTTTTACCACAGGTACATTCTCAACATTCATTTCCGCTGTGACTATCAGCAATCGGCTGCTTCTCTTTGCCCATGTCCTCCTAACCTCATTCTCTAGCCACAACGTCCTTACAGCTCCAAAATAACTTTCTTTAAGTCCCTGTATGCGTATTGGTTCTACGTGTACTCATGTATCATGCGTTAGAAACCATCTGTAGTCTATATTGTGATTTTAATTCTAAAGTGTGCCAAATCCCTTGCTGTTAAATTTACAAGGCGGCAGAAAGTGTAGCCAAACTGCTTACAGGGTCTTTATTTCAACACTGGCTCATATCAACCTTGGCCTTCTCCCAACTCTCAGGATCCAAACAGCTGAAGCAGTGAGAAAATTCAAATCAGGACCCAGATATTACAAACTGGCCATCCTGTCTGTATTACATTGCCTTATTTTTATTTGCTGAAATTCAAATGGTGTCAAAGGCAAGAAGGGGAAGAGGAAGTGACCCTGAAGTTATGCAATGTAAATATTCGGCTGTGATCTATATTGTCAGCTGTGTTTGCAGAGGCCTTACACAGCATCTCTGTGTCTGTATCTATCTGTGTAAGGTGCTTTCTCCTGCCCTATACCTGTGCTCCACTCCAGGCAGTGTAGTGAGCATGTTTGTTATTGCCCTGAAATAAAATAGTTTTCTGATAGCATACTGTTAGGTTAACAATAATTTAGATTATTAAGAAGTATTAGCTTTACAGCTGAATACAAGGCATGACCTGTGGCCTAGCAATGCCGCTGCCCACAAGGCAGAATGATAGCTAAGTCTTTGCTTGTGTCAAGTAATCATTTTAACTGTGTTAAACATTTTCTGAGTAAAATGCAGCAAGTGGATCTGTGTCTGTGTGCTGGAAAATCAGCTACAGCAAGGAACAAGATAAGACAGGGAAGCCATTGTTCTAAGTGATCGTGTCCTTAAGAAGTATCTACCACTGCAAGGTCTTGCTAGCCTATCATAATGTTACTGTTACTTAACTTTTAGCTTTTAGAAAGTGCTAGTTCAGCTTAATAAAAATATGCTGTTATAAAGATCTGTGAAGCACCGCCCAAGTATTGCTTTTGTTAACCCTGTAGTCTTACTTTGTTGTAAAAAGTATAAAAGATCGCCCCACCCTTTAGGGGGGACCATTTTGCCTCTTTGCTGGTTTAATGGTCATTGCTCGAGCAAATATACTGCAGTAAACCTTTACCCGTGGTTGTCTGGTTCCTATGCAGCTAGACAATGAACCCCAGGGAGTTTTCTCCCACCACAGCAGCTAGGCCAGAACCCGAGTAACTGAAATAGCGTTATAGAGAAAATGCAGGCCCTTTTAAGAACAATAGCTGAGAAGAACAGCCATTAAACATTATAGGAGAGAGGAAGAGTCTAGTAATCAGAATGACTCATCCCAATGGTACAAAAATCCCAGGGTCAAAAACGCTTGAGATTGGCTTAAAAATCATGACACTTTCAAAACAATTATCAGAGTTCTTTGCATTTAACTTACCAGTTTGGAGGTTTTAGGGTTCATATTTTTAATGCAACCCTTCTGCCAAGTACCAGTTGGTAGCAACAAGGGCCGGGTACAAATTTCAGGGTACCCAGTAAGTTTTCACTGTATCTCAAGCCCGCACCCAGAAATCTGAGATCACTGAATTTAGCTGGGGTGTCCCGCATAAACAAAACCCAAAAAACTAGCAAGCCGTGTAAACACAGAGGACAGATTTACTACAGAAAACAAAGGCAATGAAACAAAGGAAAACAAAACACCACATGCAATTTAAACACTCTTAACTGCCACATATAGTCTCTACTTTGCACCCCTTTTGGGGAGACTCCACCCATGCCCAGGCAGTCTGGGACTTGGGGGCTCACCCAAAGGGTTAGTTCCAGGGTCCTGTACCCCTATCCCTGTCCGCTCAGCAACAGGCTGGGTAAAGGGACCCACACCGGAGAATTTTGTGAGCTGCTCCATGGTTTTCACGCCACCTTGGAGGGTGGCTAGGTCCTTCTGCGATGCAAGGGCCCCCTTGTTGCTTCCTAGAAGGGTGTACAGCGGCAATCTCTACTTCCATGTGGTGGCTTTGAGGGGTCACCACACCCCAAAAATCCTAGATCCAAATCCTACAGCCCCAGCTGGAGCAGAAAACTGCAAAAGCGCACACAAAAAAAGGAACCGGACCTATCCTGGTGTGGGCCTGGGCTGCAGATGGGTTTAGCTACTCAGCTAGGCTGACACAAGCAACTGCTATAGCAATGAAAAGGACCAGGCTCCAATCCTAACCCACACTTTACCAGGCTCTAATCCTGGTGGTTTGCTCCAGGGATAAATACCCCCATGATATTATCCTACCCCAAACCCAAGAAAGCAGAGCAGGGGACAGAGAGAGGAGAGAAGTCCCAGACTCAGAGACTCTCCTGCTCCTCTGAGAGTTCCCCTTCATGTTGGCTTCTCCGACTGGGGCCCTCCCTGGGGTCCTCCTAGCCCCCAGCTCCCTCTTCCTACATACCTGGTTTGACATCACCCCAGCTTCTCCAATCAGGGCTTGCCATGCTTCCAGTTTTTCCTTTTAAC